AACAAATTCAACTGAGATTAAGTATTCTTAACCTGAGTGTCAACTAAGGTTTTGATATATTACACCAAATAATTGATAATCTAGAACAAAGCTTTAAAGATTTTAAACTTGAATGAAAGTATATATGATTTATTTTCTTTTCTATTAAATGTTAGTGTATTATAGCATTGGTTAATTATCTTATTTTATTTTTGGTTAATTTTTTAAAATTAAACGTTCAACCTTACATGCATATTCATCACAAATAATTTATTATTAATTTAGTAGTTTAATAATAATAATAATAATAATTATAACAATAAATATATAAACAATAATACTAATAATTATTTTCATAATAATAATAATTACTATAAAAATTTAATAATAATAACAATTTTTCATGTTGTTAATTAAAATAAAAATTATTCAAATATTTATAATACTTTAAATTTTATTAATAATAATGATTTTTGTCAAAGATATAATTTAAAAATCTTTGACTTTCTTCTATTAAATTTTTTTTTCACGTCAATTAAATTATTCACAAACTTTTAAAATCTTTTTTCTCGTTTTTATATACTGTTTTTCCCTTAATTCAAATAATCTTAAGTTAACAATTCTTTCTGCGTAAATTCATTCGTTTCTACTCCCTCAAAAATCATCCTTCGAATCTAATCTTATGTTAAAAGAAACCAGAAAGCGACAATTACGCAGGATTGGGCAAATTAGTATTTATGGTTGAAGCTTGAAAGTGACCTTATCGCTGCCAAGATTTGCCTATGGGAATCCAAGGCTTGGTTGGTTCCCATCCCAAGTTAACGAAGTATGGGACCAGCATAATGGGTATGCATTATTATAATGTGGAAGTAGAACCCACCCCACCCTGCCCTAGATAGTGAGTGAAGTGTCCACAAAGGAAAGCAAAGCGGTAAAACCACTAAAATCAAACTGGAAAAGTTGTGTGGCACGAACTAAGCCTACTTTTATGTGCAAAATTACAAATAAACAGAGAGGGCCCACTACATCATTTCAGCCTTCACCCTCCAATTTCAAATCCGATTGTATGTGGCGCAAAGAAAAAGCAAAACAAAACTTTGCTCCCAGGAAAGCAATTCGATAGCGACGGAATTGAAGAGATTGAATAAAACTAAAATAATAAATAAACTGCGATATAAGGAAAAAAAGAAAACAAACGAACACATTTATTTATTTATTTGGATAAATAGAAGAGACAGTAAATATTATACTATAAACATTTCAGTTAATAAAAGAGAAATAAATTGATACATATCATTAACTTTTAATTATTTTTATTTTTATTTTCATTATTTATGTTCTTTTCTTTATCAATTAATACAAAATTATTTTGATCATGACGTTTAAAATATTAATTGTAAGAATAGGGGTGAACTCACATGCTTCAATCAATACTAACATAGGAGAAAGTAAGAGTAGGTAAGGTGTCAATTTCAACTATTTTTATATTTCATTATAAGTAACATCATTTATAATCAAATGTCAAGATGGCCGAGTTGGTCTAAGGCGCCAGTTTCAGGTACTGGTCCGAAAGGGCATGGGTTCGAATCCCATTCTTGACAATTTAGCATTTTAATTTCCTTCAATTTTGTATGATTTCGGACTTCAAGAAACCTGTGTGGCCCAGAAGAAAGTAGTCCAGAAATAACTCATGTGATTTCTTTGTTTCACTTATTTGATTGGAGTCTGTAGGATTTTAATAATTTTATATCTTTACATAAATGATTAATTATTTTTTATACTTAAATTTAATATGACCAAATTTATATATATTTTTAGTTTAATGGCTAATTTGTTAAGGAAAGAAGCCAATATTTTAAAAAATAAAATACAAAGATAAAATTATATTTAACTATTTTTTTCTCAAGCTTGTTCCTTATATTTAAATTAGATCCTAAAACTTAAAAGATAATGTAATTATAGTTTTTTTTTATAGTTCTTTTATATTTAATATTTTTTACTTTAACATAATTGATAAACAAATTAAATGTAATTTTAATATTATATACCTAAATTTAATATTTAATATTTTTTATTATATAAATTTAATAAGAGGATTAAATTTAGATATTTTTTAAGATTTAAAGACTAATTATCAATTTCTAAAATATATATATAAGAATCAAACGTTTGAAGAAAAATACACGAATAAACATTCAAAAGATAATATACAATTTTCAATTCTTTTCTAATTAATTTTTAAATTATCTATAAAAATAAAAATTAAACTGAATCAATTAAGTCTTTACTAAACATTAGTTTAAGTTTTAAAACACTAGTTAAAAGAATGAAAACATGATATATCTAATAGAAACGTTGTTTAATGAAAAATTATACTTTCACATTTTTAATTGTAAAATAGTTATATGAAAGAAAAGGGTTATATATATATATATATATATATATATATATATATATATATATATATATATATATATATATATACATTAAAGAATGTGTTTGAAAGAGTTAAAAAATTAAATCATTTTAATAAGTTAATATTATTAGTGTAATTGATTGTTTTTGTGATTGATTACAGTAAAACAATAGGATTTTGTTTAGATTAGATTGTTGTAGAACAATAAAAGATAATTATTGTATTTAGATACAATAAAATAATCAGTTTTACATAATAATTTAAAAGAAAAAAATAGATATATGAAGCTGAAAAAAAAATGAAATAATAAGCTACTACATTATAGATTGATTGTATTTAATCATTTCATTAATTGAGTTTTGTTTGTTAGACTGATTTTTAGTTTTAGATGCTTTTTATAATTATGTTATCTATATATTTTTTTATTTGGTTAGTGTAGTAGACATGTCAATTTAACTTACTATGACTTTCTAACCTATGTGGATTAAAAAAAAAAAACTAAAAATTCATAGAATATATTGATACGAAAAATATTGACTTACTAAATAAATGACCAAAAATGTTTTTATATAAATTTAATAATAATATATTAAAATTAAAATATAATTTGATATAAATTTTTTATTTTATAATATTAATTATATATAAAATAAAAATAAATGTATAATATTTTATAGATATATTTATACTTTATAATTTATTTTTACAATAATTTATAAGTAGTGTTAGATTGTAGAAATTATTTTTTAAAAATCATAATGTATATTTTTATGTTTTTATATAATAAATTGAAGATATATGCTTAAATATGAGATAATTTTTTAATAAATTTAAAATAATATTAAAAATTATTATAAAAAGTAAAACTATTTAAATAGACAATGTAAAGAGAAATAAATATTTTTAAACTATAAACTATGATTAATTTTTTAAGTATAATAATTTTATGGAAAGAAAATTAATAGAGAAAAGTACAAAACAATTTAAAAAAAATAAAATAATATTATATTTCAATATTAAAAAAATAAAAATTATATTATTTTAAATAGTTAATTAAAAGTATTTAAAAAAATAATTAATACATAATTTATTTACATATGGTTCTTATAAAAGAACAAATAATAGTGTAGCAATTGTGAAATAAATAAATAATTAATTTTGGTGATTATATGTTTCTAGAATGTATTGAAGGTGAAAAGCAAAAAGAATATTTAATAAATTATATAGGCAAAATAGTAATTTTATTTGTCACGTTAATTTGTTTTTAATCTTTCAATATTTTTATGCACGGATTATTTTACTTATTTTCACTAACATTTTTTATATTTTTTTTAAACAAACCTATTTAGTTGATTCATTATTTTTACTTGTTTTTCACCGTATTTTTTTATATATTTTTTAACCGAACCTATTTAATCATCAAAATAATAAGAAATTGAAATTTATTTTTCTTCTTTACTATTTTTTTTAAATATAAGATAAATAATTATTTGAAATTATTAGATTACAGAAAAATAAATAAGTCTTTATTTTTACTCTCTTTTTTTCCTTATTTTTTCATTCTTTGGTGATCCAGATTATCGTAACTCTTTAGTCCCTAGACAATTCCATATTTCAATGAGAAAGTTCTCCATTCTTTTTACCAGAACTTAATCTTTCAACAACGTATAATATGCCACTGTCCAAATTAGCACTCTATACCTCATCTGTGAATCGAATGATACAATGCATAAGGGATTAAATTGACGACAAATAATCTTCGAGGACTAAACTGACGATGCTTGTATTTGTGAAGGACAAAATTGGAGCTTAATCTTCACTTTCACCTCTTTGATATCAGTAAAAAACATAATATTCTAAATAAAAGCAAATTATTCTATTTTTGACAACTGCTACGAAAGGTCAGCAACTGCTCCAGTGTATTCAATGAACTAGAATTTAAGCTTTTTCTTTTTCCAAATCTATAAAATTCCAGACTTTTTAAATCAAGGATCAAATGTTTGTTAATCATAATTCTGTCTTATGACAGACTGAGAACAGCACGTTAGAATTGGTCAATTTTATTGTGATTAAGATATAACATATTAACAATCGTTTTCAGTTTGACATCATCCAGCCTTTTTCTATGATCAATGTTACTCCTCAAAAGCATAACATTTGATTCAACTAACATACAATATCTGATAGAAGAAAATATTATCCGTTATTCAAGCACTAAATACGAAGGATATGACTAACAGCTCAGCCCGTGCATGAGATGAGTCTCCTACCGTTGTGGGGTCTAGGAAGGATCATTATGAAGCCTTATCCTCTAAGCGGACAGCTTGTTTCCGCAACTGGAACCCATGATAAGGCTCGAATATAAAAATAAAGATAATAATCATGACAGAAACTAAAATCTGGGAGCAATAAAAATATATAAGAGGTGAATGTTCAAAAATTCATACTCCAGACCTGAAAGCTTCAAGCTGTAACCTGATTAGATTCACGCAACCTCATGGACTTCGCATGCAACCTCTCCATGAAAGCTGAATTGGCACGGAGCCTCTCCTTTACATATGAAGATCAGGCATCATCTACTAATTTATTAGCTTTTCCAGCCTCCTCAATGAGAGAGAAGTGTCCTTATGCAGTCTTTTCTGTTTTCTTCTCGATGTTCATACCTTCAAAATATGGAAAAGAAAACTTAAACACAAATGTGGCTGATTCCAAGGAACTAAGGCCATACCCAAGTCTGCAAGATCAAATAATAAATGAATGATTGTTTATATAAAGATAGAAGTTTACCTCTCACTAGTTATTGTAAGCTCACCTCTCCCTGGATGATAACATTTTCCAACCAATTCTCTTAGGCGGCGAAATTGGTATTTTGAAAGCCCTAGCTCCTTTACAGTAACAGACAGTTTCACTTTCCTGTTTTTTGGATGCCAAGCATCACCACCAGGAGCAAAGACTACACGAGTTTGCCACCGCAAAATTGGACCTTCACCTGGTGGATCATCCAAATCCTTTTTCTTGTCCTGCACAGCAGGATCATCAATCTGTGGGACCTCCTCCTTTTCCATTATCATCATGTATTCTGCTACCATCTCATCCTCAAACTTCTTAAATTGTTCATAAGCTTCTTGAGGATCAAGTTCTCCTCTTTCACACATGTCCCCTAGCTCATTAGATTTTGTTTCCACCTTCTGTTTTATATCTGTTAAAATTACTGTAGTTAGGTAGCTGTGAGGAGTATTACATGTGGCTGTTAGAATTAATACAAATGGGTAGTAGTTGAATTTATGAGTTGAACCTATTTGAATTTATATATGAGATAATGAGTATGAGAGTGGTGTGAGTAACCCCTCTAAAAATACTTCACTCTTTTTAATATTAAGTTGGTATCAGAGCGGGTTAACCCCGCTCTGTTGGTCTCAGTTGTTGTCGGCCGCCGTCTCCAGTCACTGTCGCTGTTATATTTCTTCATTATCTTTGCAGTACATATCTTTTAGACTTATTGTTTCTTTCTTAGACACTTCTACCATCACTTCTGAGAAATTGAATGGAAAAAATTACCTCTCTTGGTCTGTTTCTGTTGAAATGTGGTTTCTTGACCAAGGTCTCTATGACCACCTTGAACAAGATGCAAATACAGTGCCTCTTGATAAAGCTAAACAGTAAAAGAGAACTGATTTTCAACTCTGGACACTACTACAGTAGTTTGTGGAACCCAAATTATTGGTACTCTTATATCATTTAAATCATGTAACTCCTTTTGGAAAAAGACCTAGAGTATCTTTGCAAATGATATTCAGCACTTGTATGACTCTGCAAATAGACTTGTCTCCCTAAACAATTTGATCATGATATGATATCTATTGAGATCTATGCATGTATCTTTTTGTATGTTCCTTAAACTAGGGTTAAGGATTTGGGCTGAGACTCATATCCTCTCTATTGTATCTCTTTTTCTATAAATACAATGTATCAATGTCTTTGGTCACTGTATCAAACCCTAAATAAGTTTTCTCAAGTTGGTATCAAAGTACGTAAGATCCCGCACTGATTTTCGGTCACCTCTGTCATCTCTGGCCACTGTGGGCAGCCATTCGCCGTCGTCACCATTGGCCACCGTCTCAGTTTGGACTGGCGAAGAAGGGGTTTTGTACGCCTCGAGGAGTGGGACCCATCCTTGCAAATCGCTCCTCTATCAGTTGCCCCACACATCGTCACGTGCAGTCATCCTAGAGAGCCTTCTCAGACGCATGTGTCCCACGCACCGCCTTCTAGTGGCCGGAATCAAGGCCGACCACCTCCGTTCAACTTGCCGACGTCCTTTGAGTTCAGTGGTGCTCTTAATTTTCTGGTTTGAGGATTGTGTGTGAAAGGTCCCGTGCGTAACCCTATGTGTTGGCTTTATTTGTCTTTCCTGATTCAGATGCTATTCCCACCATAACTAGTGTCAGGCGACAAGTGGTATCAACGCCGCAGGTTGATCGGCAATGGGACAAAGTGGTCTTTGTATCAAAAGTTTTCCTGACAGAGTGGGTACTGTCGTTCACTCTAACGGGACACACTTACCTGACCCACTCTGTCAGGAAGACTTTCGATACAAAGACCACTCTGACCCACTGCCGATCAACCTTCGGCTCTGATACCACTTATTAGGACTTTCGATGAAGGATTTTGATAGATATAGGTTAAAATATAAAAGGAGAGAAAAAACGAGTTAATAAAAAAAAAATAGAATAAATAAATAAAAACGAGTTGGCGTTGTATTTTTTTAGGCAGAACGAGACTTAGTATATAAGTCCGTCGGGAAAGGCGAGGAGGAGGGGGGAAAGAAAGAAGGAAAGGAGTTTCTCGATTGGAGAGAGAAAGGGTAGGATTGGGAAGATTGCTTCCAGCTGTAAAGTGTATTCTGTAAAGTGTATTGTCATTACACTGTGCAAGGAAATTTTGTACTATCTCATAGATACGTCAATTCATATTAATAAGAGGTATATTCAATTCAACAGAGATATTAGACCTATCAATTGGTATCGGTAGTCTTGACTTTGGTCGTGGGAAGGGCTGCATCAAGGAATGGTTAATACAAGAATGGAGGCCAGATTAGATAGCGTTGACAAGATACTTCAAGATCTTGTGCAAGAACGGGACCGGATTGAGAATCAGCAGCAAGAACGTCTCCAACGTTTGGAAGACTCGATTCGAGGGCTCACATTTGTGGTGGAATCTTTAGCAAGTAAAGAGAAAGAAACTAAAAGATTTGGGGCAAAGTCGGGGACGGATTAAATGGTCAACCAGATTTCAATAGTTACTGTTACGGAATCAAATTTATCTGGTTCACGTTGGAGGAAGCTAGATATACCAGCTTTTGTAGGAGATGAAGCGTATGGATGGACCAATCGTTTAGAACGTTATTTTCGATTAAAGGTCTGTTTCGGAAGAGGAGAAAATGCAAGCGGTCATGGTAGCATTAGAAGGAAAGGCATTAAACTGGTTTCAATGGTGGGAAACCCGTAATCCACATCCATCTTGGGAAGCTTTTAAAGTAGCGAGTGGTACGGCGATTCCAACCGAATATGCTCCAGAATCCCTTTGAAATCTTGATTGGATTATCTCAAAAAGGTACAGTGGAGGAATACATTGAGCAATTTGAACAATATGCGAGATTTTTAAAAGGAATACATCAAGATTATTTGGTGGGTATTTTTTTAAATGGGTTAAAAGATGAAATCAAAGCCGAGGTCAAGTTGTATGACCCTCAAACTCGACGGAATTAATGTGTAAGGCTCAATTAGTGGAAGAAAAAATTTTGGTGACATCAAAAGGTGTTTCTTATTATTCGGGAGTCATTCAAGCAACTGGTTCTATGAAGCCTTATACGGTCACTAAAAGTTTAACCGAGAGAAAATTATAGTTTAGGAGGATCGGTCAATGAAGGAAAAAGTAAAAATGCGAGATATCTGCTAGTGTATCTAGCGATAATAGTGGGGGCTACGTGTTAGAGGGGCTCCTTTCGGGAAGTTGTCCGAGACAGAATTACAAGATAAAATCAAGAGAGGCCTTTGTTTTCGTTTGTGATGAAAAATATGGTCCGTATCATGTCCGCAACAATAAACAACTTCATATGTTGTTATTGACGAGAAGAAGAAATTTCTGGATTAGAGACCTCTTTAGCCAACTCGGAGATCAATATGAACGAGTGTGCAGGAGCCCGTTTTGCGGCTATCATTATGTACGATGGCAGTGGTTAACTACTAAGAAGTCGTGGAAAATTTGGGGCAACATTGGGTCGAGAAAAGTGGTCGTGTTATTGGATTGCGGAGCTTCTCATAATTTTATTTCTTCTAATCTCATTTCCGAGATGTGGGTTGCTTCGAGAAGATACACCCTCTTTTGTGGTGGAAGTAGGAGATGGTCACAAGGTTCGTTGTCAAGGGAGATGCTCTAGATTTCTTCGAACTTACAAGGATATCAAGTGCAGCAACAGTTTTATGTTTTTGATTTGAGTGGGGCTGATATTGTGTTGGGATTGGAATGGTTATCAAGCTTGGGAGAAGTTAAAGCTGATTTTGGAAGATTAAGGCTAACTATTGGTAAGGGCAGTACAGAACAAATAATATCCGGAGATCCTACATTGTCCAAGTCTCAATCTTCGTTAAAATTTTTATGGCATGAATGGAAGGAAGAAGGCTCTTGCTACTTACTCAAATGGGAAGAGAATTTGGAACATCTTACTACTCCGGAGATTCCTGCAGAAATACTTAAGGTTTTGGCCATCAATGATGACGTTTTTCAAGAATCTGAAGGCTTACCACCTAGTCAAAGCCATGACCATTCTATTCACCTACAACAAGGTGCTTCAATTCCTAATCTTAGACCATATAAATATTCTCATCAGCAAAAGAATGAGATTGAGAGATTAGTGCAAGAAATGTTGCAGGCTGGAATCATTAAGCCCAGCATTAGTCCTTACTCAAGTCCTATAATATTGGTTAAGAAGAAAGATGGGGGTTGGCGTTTTTGTGTCGACTATAGAGCTTTGAATAAGATAACAATTCCTAATAAGTTTCCAATTCCAGTAATTGAGGAATTATTGGATGAGTTGGCCGGGGCAACTATATTTTCGAAGTTGGATTTGAAATCAAGGTACCACCAAATTCTAATGCGCAAATCTGATGTGGAGAAGACTGCATTCCGAACTCATGAGGGCCATTATGAGTTCTTGGTCATGCCTTTTGGACTGACTAATGCCCCTGCAACCTTCCAGTCTCTTATGAATACCATACTTAAGCCTATTTGAGGAAATTTGTACTTGTTTTCTTCGACGACATATTAGTGTACAGTTCTAATGTGGAACTACATGGGCAGCATTTAGCGGAGGTCCTAAAGGTATTGAAAATTCAACAATTGAAGTTGAATAAAAAAAATGCAGTTTTGGTCAATCCAGCCTAGAGTATTTAGGCCATATTATTTCTGGAAATGGAGTATCAGCGGACCCCAAGAAGATTGAGGCAATGCAGAGTTGGCCTATTCCGAAAGATGTGTCAGCATTACGAGGATTTTTGGGTTTAACGGGATATTATCGCCGTTTTGTTCAGGGCTACGGCAAAATAGCTAAACCATTAACACAATTATTGACTAAGGATGGGTTTCATTGGAATAAAGGGTCTCAAGATGCTTTTGAACAACTCAAATCAGCTGTCACTCAACTTCCTACATTGGCTGTTCCAGATTTCACTAAACCATTTATTGTGGAAACTGACGCATCTAGTAAAGGGTTAGGGGCAGTCCTAATGCAAGAAGGAAGACCATTAGCCTTTTGGAGCCAAACACTATCGGAAAAGGGGCAGAATAAATCAGTTTATGAACGGGAACTCATGGCTGTTGTTCAGGCCATACATAAGTGGAAACATTACTTAATGGGAGGACACTTTATTGTAGTCACTGATCAGAAAAGTTTGCGATTTCTTACTGACCAACGATTGTTGACTGAGGAGCAGTTTAAATGGGCTTCAAAATTGATTGGATATGATTTTGAGATCCAATATCGTGCAGGAAAGGAAAATTCAATGGCAGATGCATTATCAAGAAAAGGATATTTTTTATCTTTGTCTACACTCCAAAGTGAGGAATGGGAAGATTGGCAAGATCAGATGCAACAAGA